TTCATTCTGATTCAGTATCTCTTTGGACTTCTGATGGCTATTTGTGCTCTTCTTTACGACATCAGTTACCAGTTTCCTTGGTTTTTTACGGCTTCTAACGGTGCTAATTTGTGCCATCAGTTCCTCTTCTGACGACAGTTCAGGTCCTGTTTTTCCTGCCACCCTCTTCTTTTGTGTAACCGTCTTATTGTTTATCTCTGCATAATCCACATCCTCCATCACCACTTCTTCCCCTGCTTCGTCGTGTATTCCTACCTCTTCCATTGTATCTGCTTCCATTTCTAGGCCACTCATTTTATATTGTGAGAGTCCCCGGTCGGAAGCACGTGTGCTTCCGGCCGTTGTGTTTTTGCTCGAACCCCGCACTATACGTACTCGTAACTCGCGATAAGGAAACCAAAACTAATTCTGCAATATACGGAATCTTACAACTGTTGTCTAACACCACCGTATTAGAGTAAAATCCGCACTTTCTTCACAAAAAAACGAACGTAATAACACTTAACCTCACTAGCGTTGTGCTTCTCCTGCCACACTCCGTCAGCGAGTCTATTGACCTCGTTCACAACATACCGTATGATGCTGCCATCTATTGACAACAAAAGGTACTTTCCCATTATCCCGTGTGTTGTTGGATTGGTTAGTTATTAATGATCAAAAACTGCCTAATTGAGTCTGGCCCACCCTGTATATTATACATATATATTTTTATAATTGTGTAGCAGTTAAATGGTAATAATAGGCTGTAACAAACTAGCAGTAGTGGTCTAATAGCAATGATCAAATTTTTTCAAAGGCTTCTGGAATTGGCAAATATATTTTTAGCGTGATGAATACAATTGTACATAATACTAATGCCCTGAACATAATATGAAGAGATTTGATATCTTCTTTTACAGTCACAGTATTATTTGAAATTGAGCCTGTAACAAGAATATGACTTTATTGACTGACTGTTCTATTCATCCATCCTTAAACTTTTAGCTGAAGACTGATTTTCCATCTATAAAATTGACACTGCCAAGAAAACGTTGGTTTGGAAACAACTTTGATCCCATTTTCCTTGAAGATCGAATCTGTGGCCTGCAGTGTTTTGTGAATTCAATCCTTGAGCATCAGGAGTTATGTACTGCTCCAACAGTGCAAGATTTCTTTTGCCTGAATGAACCTCCAACATGTGCAGAGAGTATGGAAGAATCTCGGGTAAGAGGTCATTCTGAGTTCATTACAACTATTAATTTTATCGTGAATTTCCTTCTTAACTCATCACTCTTACTTTTCTTATAATGAAATATAGGCTTATGGTATCTTCATATGCATTCCCATCTTTCTATTCATGTATGCATTTGACTCCTCCCCACAACTATCAAACTACTGAACAGATTTTCACAAAGATGAATCCATATAAGATTGAGGTTTTCACGGCAGTGACTATGAAGAAAGCCGTCTTCTGGGATGTGGCGCCGTGTAGAAATTGTGTTAACCGAAGTTTCGGAGGAACGTATCGCCTCCATCTTCAGGGTAGAAGACAAGAAGAAATCTGCAAGCGAACCAGCGGAGAAGGTGCAACAGACTGAGTCCAGTTGAGTAAACACAGCTGTATAAGAGAAGGAGAGAAGGAGTGTGACTACATAGGGGAATAGCAGAGGGGGGGAGGGTCTGGCAGAATAGCCAGCAGGTAGTGGGCCAGAGCTGGTATAGAGTATGTGTTAGAGGGAGAGAAGGGAAGGTTAAATGGAGGGCATTAACCCTGTAGCTCGGGGGCTGCGATGGACCTGAGTGGCCTATAGGGTCTGCCTTATTTCAGAGGTTACTTGAGGGAACAGATGAGAGGCTTTCATGACTTGCTGAAACAAAACCCCACCTCTCTTCATATTGTTGGGATGGAGTTCAATCTCAATGGCCTCCCTAATAATGTGATCCATATAACAGGTCTTGGTAGTGAGGCTGGAGGTATTCTGAAGCTGAATGCGGTGCCCCAAATCGATGCTGTGTTCAGCCACAGCTGACTTGTCTGGATGTTTGAGACATGTGCTGCTGATGCTCCTTCAACCTTGTGTCCACGGAGCAGCCCGTCTGCCCAATATAGACCTTGCCGCGCTTGCATTGGATACTGTATACACTGTCTGAGGCTATCTTTGACCGGCTAGAGGAAACTAGATAATTTCTTTGGAGGCAGGCCCACTACCTGCTGGCTGTTCCACCAGACCCTTCCCCTCCCCCTCTCTACTATTTCCCTATATAGCCACACTCCTTCTCTCCTTCTCTAATACAGCTGTGTTTACTCAACTGGACTCAGTCTGTTGCACCTGCTCTGCTGGTTTGCTTGCAGATTTCTTCTTGTCTTTGACCCTGAAGATGGAGGTGATATGTTCCTCCGAAACGTCGGTTAACACAATTTCTACACGGTGCCACATCCAAGAAGATGGCTTTCTTCAAGATGAATCTAGTTCACATTCTTCCACACTATTTATTTGAAGTCCATTTTAGTATTGTCACATGTAATAGTGACTATAGACAGGGTTTGGATTGGTGAATGGGTTTATTGACCACTTTAATACACGACTCAGAATGACAAGCAAATAACAGTGCCACTGCTGATCTCCACAATTCCCAAATCACCACAGCACCTGCCAAGCCTTTTCCAGCATGCTGTGTCATCACCAGTCATTCCCTGGTATCTGCTTGTAACAGTGGAGATTTCATCAGCTTCATGCGCTCAAGTCCTCTCTTCACAGACTTCCATACAGAACTGAACTCCAAACCTCTTGGTTATAACATCTTGACATGGACCACATAGAGAACACTTTTCTGTTGTTGCGGGTGTTACCTAGCAATGTCTGCTGTTTACAGAGTCACCACTTAGCAGTGGGTCCATATGCCATAGTATTATGTTCCCATCTATGGCTAGATCTTCCAAGAGGTCTCTACATTTCAGGTTTTCTGACCAGAATTTTGTACACATTTCTCATCATGCCTGTGTCTTCTATATGCCCCACTCATCTCATGCTCCTTAATATGTTCCAGCAAATAGATATGCATTATTAACCCTTTACGCACCACGAGCTGATCAGATTGAGTCAGCATACTGCCACCAGTTCAAAAATTGTTATACACTGATATGTAGAAGGAACTTCGTGCTATTAACAGGTGTGGTTGTTTGAAGGCAATCTGTAGAAGTATTGTGGATTTTTGTTTAGAGCAGTAGCAGTTACCCCCAAGCAGCCTTGGCAGTTCTAGCAGGTAGTTCTGTGGCAGGGCTTGGCCATCAAGGGGTTAAGTTGAACAGATGTTCTTAAAATAATGTTTAAACTCCAGAAATCATGTACACTAGATCAGCTATTGGGAACAATTCCTGCATAAACTATCTTAAAAATATGTTTCTTCTTTTGTAAAGGCAATATTTGAAGCACTAGAAGAGACAATATATCATCTAAGGTGTCAGTTAAAGGAGAAAGAAATGGAACTGAACAAAGCAAGAATATCTCTTGCTGCTGAAATAATGAAGAAGGACAAGCTGTCTCAGATTTTAAGGTGAATATTTGGATTGGTTTTTAAGTATTATGATGACTGCACTATTGAAAGTAAGGATGGCTCATAATTCGGAGGGTCACTCATACAGAGACTGATTATGAATGCCATTATGCAAGCAACAGGTTGATGAAAACAGGTGGTAGATGCAAACTATTATTTTATAATAAACTCTTTCAAAATGTGAACTAAGATGGTTCAAACTGTTCCCAAAAGATGGCAGAAGCTTATGTCCATGAGTTTGGAATTGTCTAGTAAATATATTCTGCATAATAAAACAAAGTTTCGGTTGAATCTTCTTGATCACAGTAAAAGATAACCTTCACCCACCCCACATGCTGCCTTCCTCGCGGTATAGTGCCTCGGCTAAGTTCAGGGTCATGAGTCTTGTATCTCAGGGGTACACGGCTGTTNGTTTTTTTTTTTTTTCATAGTTTCGGATGCCGGCCGGATCGGTTAATACTTAGGCACAGGTTCTTAGGAAATGAAATATCTCACTCGGTTTCGTAAGTTTCTGATTAATTAACTTTATTTATCCTATGTAGAAACTTCTCTTCCTCGTTAGATTGCGTAATATTTCTTTGAACTCCACTTACATAAATCAGCATTTATTAACAGTTCACAATCTCTCTGATAATGCTGCCGGAGTTCACACTTATTCACTGTCCTATTAAATGATCTTTTACTCCCTCGACTCACTGACTTCCCAATTCACTCTTTACTGACTGACTACTCGACTGCTTTCCACTGACTTTACTTCTTACTCACTTGAACTCCCTCACTGACTCACTTCTACTAACTCCTAAATTACCACCGCCGCTGCTTTTAGAAACCACCTTCTTACAGCCATCTCGAATTTTCTACTGGGGGGCTACATGACCAAGCGCAAGGACCCCTTCTGGCCTACACGCCTTCTCGAAGCTTCCATTGACAGGTCCTTCACCTCCGCAGGCAAGGACGACAGAAGGGATCCCCCCCCCCCAAGTGCAATGGACTCGCTGACCTCCCTTTAGCCCCTCGTAACAAAAGGCCAGTTCAGAGGACATTGATCCCTCTGGAGCATCTTATTTCAACAGCTAAACTTAATCGTTACGTACAAACAAATAAGATATATCCGTGAAGGATGCATACGGTTACAGACTCCCCCGTTAAATCAGGTAACTTCTGAAACACATGTGATGAAAGAAGTTTCTCTGATTTAATGACACTCTCACGTACGCCCTTCACGTACCTAATTACACTTAAGTTAAAATCAAACAATACAAGACTTCTTACACATATAATGGACCGTCCCCACATTACAAATAAAATTTCACATGCTCAGATGATAATCCTATCATTCTCCTAGGATTACTCCAGTTACATCAGGTGGGTAGCATCGACACTCAGTGATTGACAGTCTTTGCTTCGGGAATCTCTCCACTTACATCACAATAGCTCACTTACACTCCTATCTGTACTTGCCTCTGACAATTCTAACCAACTATTATTTCCTCAGTAGGGCCAACGCCCACACCTACATTTAAATTTACACTCAATTTTCCTCGACGTCACTTTCAGCACAGCTTCCTTACGCCTCTCAGGCCACTTATCTATCACCACTCACATTCTTGTTTCGATGATTTCACGTCTCTCTCCCTTCTTCCTTCCACTCTTTTATCTCTCTCCACTCACTCGCTTGACAATACTATTTTAATATTATCTTCCGTAATTTTCTTCTTCCGACGATACACTTTTAGGATATGGATGGAATTCGGTTCCCTTATCTGGTGATAAACTTAGCTTCCCTATACTAAACTGATCTCAAATCACCGATGTTCTCAACAGATATTATTAGAGCTACCAGACTGCAATTATATGAGTAACCACAAGCACTACGGGGATTTCACCTTTCCCCTCTTCACCATACGTTCATACCTCCAATCCTCATCCATTCTTCATGGGGACGCTCCACTCTTAACATTATAACAACAGATCATGTTTATTCCTTAACAATTATTATCTTATTATGAATTCAGTTCATCACCCAACGCCATGTGAATTTGTCAGAGGTATGGAATGGGGTTTTAGAGGATAGGCGCATTATTCCATCCCAAAATTAATGGATGTACGTAGCGGTGGATCCTTAGTGTCGGAACTTCTTCAAGCCCCCTTAATAAATATGCCTTTAATTCTCCCTTTTTCGTCGGAAATCTCAAATATGGTGGGCGATACTATCTGGCTTATACGGAAGGGCCCTTCATATGGGCGAGCAAATTTGTGAGTGATGCCTTGGTTCGCATCTGACAAGCGGCATGCTTCGGCCAAAACTTCCTCCCCTACAACCAGGTTCCATTTGCGTAGGCCTCTTTTCCTGCGTTGCTCCCGTTTCTCTGCGCGTTTCTTCAATCTGGCGAATACTTGGATTGCTTTTTGTTCCAACGTTAGCGGCTCTGCTTCTCCCCCGGGTGAGGTGGGTAGTAATTCTGAGAATAATCGTGGCGCATCCTCGTCGTACATTAATTCGCGTGGCGTGAAGCCTGTCGCCTCAGATACTGTCTCGTTTACCCAGGATTCGAGGTGAGGAATTAGTTCCGGCCATTTCTTATGGTTCTCTTCGCAGTAGATGCAACACACCTTCCCAATTTCTCTCATAAACCTTTCGACGGGATTCGATTGAGGATTCCTAATAGGAGTAAATCAAACGTTAATTCCGAGTTCGTTCAATCCATTTTTCCATTTCCTAGACGTGTATTGTGTCCCGTGGTCCGATAAAATCGTCTCCGGTTTTACTACGTGAGCGATGTAGTCGTCCATGATTCTCTGCAGGCACGCCTTGGTTGTGGCCGATTTCAACGGGTGCAGTCTTATGAATTTCGTGAAAACATCCAGGCACACGAACAGGTACCTGACTCCCCTTCGCCCTTGCAGAACTGGTCCATAGAAATCCACGCTGACGAGCTGCCCTTTTCTTTCCGGGAGGTGCGGTCTGGGCTCCACCTCATACTTCCAGTTGGGGAACTTTACCTTTTGGCAGACCTCACAAAGGCTTAATAATTTCCGTGTTTTGCATCCCAAGTTCTTGCGGTGGAACATTGCATTTATACTCTCTGCACACTTGTCAGTTCCTGCATGACCATTTGCTAAGTGGACATAAGTTATCAGTTTCTCTTCCAACTCCTGAGGTACGACCACTTTCCATGGGGTCCCACTCCTCGTATCTACGGTATATAATAAATTTTCATGTATTAGGAATCGTTCTTTCAAATTCTCGCATCCTTCTTTCACCAATCTACAGATTTCTTGCAAATCAGGATCCCTTTCTTGAATAATGGCTAAGTTTCTTATGTCTCTTCGCATCGACACATCCAGGCCAAGATCAATGCGAGCGATCACAATTCCCTGAGGATGTTTCAGGGCGTTGACCTGCTTGGAGGTGAGACCAGCTGGGTTGCGGCTTAAAGTATCCGCAAAATGGTTCTTCGTTCCCGCGATGTGGACTAAAGTCAAATCGTCGTATTCTTGGATCATCAGTGCCCAACGCGCGACGCGACTGGATGTTATAACGCATTTCTCAATGAATGACACTGATTTGTTGTCCATATATAGTTTCACCTTCCGGCCATAGATATATATGCGAAATTTTTGTAACGCAAACACGACAGCCAAAAGCTCCTGTTCGCATGTCGTATACTCCTTTTGGGTGAAGACAATACCCGGGACGCGGTCGTGATTATGGAGACTTGACCCTTCTCATCAGTCTGAGTCAAAATCCCTGAGATGGCATAACAGCTAGCATCTGTATATATCTCGTAGGTCAATTCGTTTCGCGGATGTGCCAGGTGAATGCTTGCAGCAAATGCATTCCTCAATTTCAAGAAAGCCTCCTCGTGGTCATGGGGCAGTGTATTCCGCGTAATTGATAATAAACTGATGATGAAAGTTGCAGGTACCCAAAAATTGCCGCAATTGATTCTGATTTTTCGGTGCAGGATAAGTCAAAATTTGTTCTATGAGATCGGGGTCCGGCGATACGCCCTTATTCCCTATGATGTGCCCTAGAAACTTGATGGATGTCTGAAAGAATTTACATTTATTCAGGTTAATAGTAAACCCGTTCTCTGACAGTCTTCTCAGTACAAATTCTACATGTTCTAGGTGCTCCTTGTACGAATTAGAGTGAATATGTAGGTCGTCTATGTACTGGCATAAATAACCATGTGTCTCGGGTCCGAATATCCTCCTCATGGCTCTGATTAAAGTACATCCACTATTCTTAAGACCATAGGCAATCAAGCAGAATTGATATTGTTGTGAGTTGAATAAAAATGCGGCGTACTTTCGGCAAGCAGGCCTCATAAATATCTGCAGAAACGCGGCGGTCAAATCTAAACTTGATAGAAACTGCACTCCATCGAATTGCTGTAGTAATTCCTGAATCGGTTGAGTCCTCTCAGAGTCTGCAATAGTTACAGCGTTTAAACGCCGAGCATCCAGGCAAATTCGCGGTACTTTGTTAGCTTTAGGGGCGACCACCAAAGGGTTAGAGTATGGTGACGTGGCGGGTTCAATGATGCCTTGTCTGACCATCATCTTAATCTGCTCTCAGACGGCATTTCTAATCGGATACGGAATCGGGCGTTCTCTATATGAAAACGCTGCCTGGTTGGTTAATTCGAATCCATATTCGAAGTTAACGCACAATCCAGGCGTCGAGGAGAAGAATTTTTGGTACCTCCTAACAATCGCTCTCACTTCTTCTCTTTGTTCGGCGCTCCGCAAGTGGGCTGTTTCCACTACTTCGTTGATAACGTCATCGGTGTTCTGAACATTTAGTTCACGCGACTCCTCTAATCTTTTACCGGGATGCATGTCTTCATCATCATCATTATCGCAATGTTCATCACCATAATTATCATTATCGTCGTTATTGACCAGCGCATTGCCGTAGCTTTCTTCTTCTTCTTTTTCTTCCTCGCCGTTACTTAATCTCTCCGCTTTCATTCTCTCTATACCGTCGACGTTTGTTTCTTCTTAATATTTTTCCTCATCACTGCATCCAGGTTCATCCATAAACTTCTTCTCGCGTGCGAATTCACAACATGTGTTCTTCCTAAATCCCAAAGATGGCGTCCAAACTAGAGATGGTTGCAATAACACCCTTCCGTCGCAAGTAATGTTTTTTACCTTCAAGACCTCGCCTTGTTAGGCGCGTCGGGGTTAATTTCATTAATCTTGGTCCTAGTTATTGTGCCCTTAGGCGCAGTTTCGGCCGCAACGGCGCCTAATCTCTGTTTCCTGCCGGCCCTTCCTGATCATTCCTAGTCTGGTTAGCAGTTACCATGGCGTTGTTCGAAGCGGCTGACTCCCTTCTGTCCCCGTTTTGGTCTGACATCGGGTGGCGGTGATTTCTCCGCTGGTCGCCATGTGTTCTCCATTCTCGATGATGGTTGTAGTTGCGGTGATCACGTGACGTATCCGGTCTCCTGTGGTAACGATTGTCATTCCACATGGTCTCCCGACTCCGGCCTCCTCTATCCTCATCACGTGGATCTCTGCGAGATGACTGGGGATTGCTCTGCTGGTTATGACGCACCGGTCCCCTTGGTTCGAAATCCACTTGATCGTTCTCGAGGTCTGCGATGTCAGAAAGGAATGCCGCCGCCTCCTGAAGAGTTTGAGGTTTTGCTACTACCCAGGCGTTCTTTACCCCGAGGGGATAATGTTCTTTGAGGGAATTCAAGAATTCCAGGTTGGACATCGGAGGTTCTAGGTATTTAGCTTTCACAGCGTACTTCATAAGATGGTCACAGTAGTTTGCTGCGCCCCGCGGGTTGTATCTATCCTGATAGATCTGGAGTCGAACCCTTGCCCGACATGAGAGGCTCCAGAATTTGTCCAAGAAAGCTCTGCGGAATCCCTCAAATGTTTTAATTTGATCCCAATTAGCATCAACCCACGTCATGACTGAAATGCTTTTAAAGATTGCCGCGCTACAGCTAACCCGAAGCGGTGGAGGAATATTCTTGATTTGTATGTATTCGCCTAAGGAATTCAAATGCGCCTGGGCGTTTTGGTCCGGTTTGTTTTCGAATATTGGTAATGTGAGATCTACGGGGTAACTAAGGATCCCTCTGACAAATTCTCCAGGGTTGCCACTCCACACTTTCTCCTGACTATCGACGTCATTGTGAGGATTAGAACCATTACATGAAACTTCATTACTTATTGGTTCATTAACATGAGTAATCATGATGTCTGAGCTTGAGAGGGTCTTTTCAATCCTAGAATCCGATTGGCGGTTAGTAATCCCCATACATTGAACTTCTTCACAATTACTCTTACTTTCTACTCGTTTCTGATTTTTCATTAGCTCAACTTGGGTCCTCAATTCATCATATTGCTTACTGACAACATCATACTGCTTACTAATATGTCCGCTAGCCTGTCCAATTTCCGCCACTCGTATCTCGCATTGATTTACCTTCTCACACCTATTATCAGACTGCTTAGCCAGCTGAGCGTGAGATACTGTCACTTCCTGTCTCAAGATTTCAAAATTGTTAGTAATTTCAATTTTATCATTCTGCACTTTCTCGGTCAGTGTTCGAAACTGTACCATTGGTACTCTGTTATTTGGCTAATTTCCCTATTCATTGCTTCTTCCGATTGCATTCTTCCGATCTGTCCTCAGTTCTACGTCACTCGCGATCTGATTCATGGATGACAGCATCTCGCGCTTGTGTACAACAAATATGTTCTCCAACCTTTCATTAAATTTCTTTGCTCTCCTTTCACCCTCCTTCCTAAATTCCTCTCTAATCTTTTCACTCTCCTTCCTATTCTCTCTAATCTCCCGAAACATCTCCATTCTTTTATTGCTCTCGTTCCTATTCTCCCGAAACATCTCCTTCATACATGACATTATCGCTTGCATATCTATTTGGTCGTCTTTCCCCTTTTTGTCAGCACTCGTCAGTTGTTCTCCCCTACTCTCACTGATTCCACCTGTGTCCCCTTCCATCGGTTGACCACACTGCATGTCCATTTCTCCTTCTGAATCTCCCCCACTCTCACCTATAATTACGCCTTCTAACTGCGTCGTCTCCTCATCCATCGTTTCACCTTCTTCACTATTGTCTCCGATTACCCTTTTGTTTCTCAAATGTCTGCGAGTAATCATACCTTCCCTGATTATTAACAATCCTAGTCTGTCTCTGTCACTTTCACTTTCCACCAACCTGACCTGAAGTTCGCCGGGGTTGATTCTCCTTTAGATGAGTCGGGTTGTCCTCAAGATGCAAGTCTTCCGATCTGTCACCCGGTTCGTCCTTTTCACCGCAGTGTTGCTCGATGTCACTTTTCTTGTCCAGCCACCGCTATCTTGAGCTCCTGGGTTCGAAGCACTGATCCTTATCGAGCTGCACATTGTTAAGAGTCATTTGTTTATATGCGGTCACTACTATTCGGGCCCAATACTTTGGTCGCCATTTCTACACCCGCCCCACACACTGCCTTCCTCGTGGTATAGTGCCTCGGCTAAGTTCAGGGTCATGAGTCTTGTATCACAGGGGTACACAGCTGTTTTTTTTTTTTTCATAGTTTCTGATGCCGGCCGGATCGGTTAATACTTAGGCACAGGTTCTTAGGAAATGAAATATCTCACTCGGTTTCGTAAGTTTCTGATTAATTAACTTTATTTATCCTATGTAGAAACTTCTCTTCCTCGTTAGATTGCGTAATATTTCTTTGAAATCCACTTACATAAATCAGCGTTTATTAACAGTTCACAATCTCTCTGATAATGCTGCCGGAGTTCACACTTATTCACTGTCCTCTTAAATGATCTTTTACTCCCTCGACTCACTGACCTCCTGATTGACTCTTTACTGACTGACTACTCGACTGCTTTCCACTGACTTTACTTCTTACTCACTTGAACTCCCTCACTGACTCACTTTTACTAACTCCTAAATTACCACCGCCGCTGCTTTTAGAAACCACCTTCTTACAGCCATCTCGAATTTTCTACTGGGGGGCTACATGACCAAGCGCAAGGACCCCTTCCGGTCTACATGCCTTCTTGAAGCTTCCATTGACAGGTCCTTCACCTCCGCAGGCAAGGACGACAGAAGGGATCCCCCCCCCCCAAGTGCAATGGACTCACTGACCTCCCTTTAGCCCCTCGTAACAAAAGGCCGGTTCAGAGGACATTGATCCCTCCGGAGCATCTTATTTCAACAGCTAAACTTAATCGTTACGTACAAACAAATAAGACATATCTGTGAAGGATGTGTATGGTTACAACCACTTGGATGAAATCAAATAAATTTGATCACTACAGTTAATGTTCAGTTACATTGCCATGCTTTCCTGTTTCAGAAATTCTACAAAGGATTGTCCTCAATGTGGTAAGGACTTAACGACCATAAACTCACCACTTTCTGAAGCATCTACGTTGAAAGCGATTGTCAGCGAAGCAACCAATGGAAGCAGCCCTCAGAAACAAGAAGTGGCACAGGCAAAGGCTCAGCCATAAGGTCCTTTTCATGTCTGGTGGAAAGATGTTAAAATAAAGCTCAATTTGTCACTTCCTGCCAGGTTTAAGTTGCTTGCTGTATTGTTATTATATAAAGTGCCTCTTTCAAGACATGGACACAGTAACTCTTCCCAAGAGATATTATATGTAATAATCACTCAAAGGCTGTGATCAGTTCAGTAAGTATGACAATACCATAAAAATGTAATTCCATAGAAGCAGATGTTTGATAAGATATGCTCGGTAGGAATAATTTCACATTCTATACAAAATATAAAGGGTAGCCCAACAGTAAGTTGTGAGCCATGTCTGGTTCCGGAGTTGTTTACATTTAAATTACTGTAGGGAGTTAGCAGAATACTCATAGAATACAATATTTTATTTATGTTCTTATTTAATGTTTTATTTCTCTATTTGTATTCTCTGATTCAGTTTCCATTCCAGTCAGCAAGATGCATAGCAAATTTTTTTAGTAAAGATACTTCAAGCCACAATAAAACGATATTAAACCAATATTATACTATTGTTTTCAATCACTGTAATTTATTCAGAACTAATTTCATTATATTTAATGCCAGATAATTGCAGACACTATCAGATCCTTGTTAAGTGAACCTGCTGCATGAAGTCATTTATATGTATCTTCATGTAATGATATGAGAAACAGTTTTATCTGCTTTTGAGGAGGAGTCTGGATATTAGTGTCTGTCCCATCTCAAAAGTTGAGGTGCACTATGTTGTAATTGCCAATTATAAGCAATTAAGACATAACAGTATATCTGTTGACTCAAGTGGCATAAATTTGTTTTACATTCTGTGAAAATCAGTTGTCTCATGAAAAAATTAAAACGAACATATGCATGTACATACACAACACATAACATGTGCTCTTTCCATAAGAAGAAAAAGTAAGCCCGTTACAAAATCTGTTTACTTCGAGAAAATAATGTTTGATAGGCTAAGATGTCTTCAACAAAATATCAGCATCTTCAAAGTTGAACAAATTTTATATTTTCTTTCATTGCCATTCAAATTTTAAATTATTCATCTATTTTCATGTGCTTTGAAAATTATATCCTCTCACTAGACATCATGAGTCAGACGCATTTCATTCATACTGTTGCTCCTAGCTTGAATCTTGTTTTCTTTTGGAGAAATGTCTGTCCGCCCAACATACCAAAGTACTATTCTCGGGTTTTTTTTTTTAGAGGGAGGCTGAATAAATGACTTTAAGTGCTGAAGGAAGACCCTGCACTGTATATTTTACATGCATAATATCAGTTAAATTATCTGTGATATGAAGTAATACAGATAGATAAAATTTCTGTGGTATGGTTGGAATTTAAGAACGTCATCCTGTACATAAGCTCAGTGCCACAATGCCTAAAGGTTCATGTTTGGAAGGTATTCAGTTCAATTCTCAGCCAGAAATTCAGCTTCTCTCACTAGGTTTTCCATACTTTTGTTTAGTTCTTTTAGATTAAAGCTGGCATAATTCCTTGAAATAGCTTAGGACCACTTCCAGTCTGCTCATAATGATTATCTTCTCATTCAGTTCTGTATAACTCCTGAAATTGGTGCACTGTCATTAAATGACAAGTCAGCCTAATTAAGGGTACTCTGCTGAAAATGGTAATAACAACAGAAACAAAAAATAAAACATGAAAAATGTATTACTGCCTGCAGATGTTATATTTATATTCTCAATTTGCAATATTTAATGTGTGATAGTTTGCATTTTTTTAAGTTACTCTTAATTACAATTGGTTCATCAGAAATTTATTCAGGATGTATGTTGTAAGGGTGAGGTAGTCAGTGATGGTGATGGCTGTAGTGTAAAAAGTCAGTGGTGGCCTGTGAAGGAATAGAGGATGAGCATAAGGACTACACCGCCCATTAAAAAGTAACACAGCCACCCCATAATATTGATCTTTTTTTTCTTAACTTCATAAAATTACAACTTTACAGCCTGTGTCACCACTGATGAAAGTAATATGTAATTTCAATCTTTTTCAATCTTGTTTATTGTATGAAGGTTCTAACTGTGCTTTGTAACTATCATTGCTCATGAATAATTCAACAATAAATTTTTCATTCCAGCATCCTCTGAAACTTACTTAGATTTATGATCCTTTCTGAAAACCCAGACCTTCCCAGTGCTATTTACTTTTGTCACACAGTGAATTTGACATGCATTACAGGACATGTTCTTCCTGAAATTAATACCAACCATATTGTTCAGTACTCATTTTTAGGTGTGTTTGCCATCCTGTAGAATGCCTGTTACAAGCATTCCATCCATCTACTATGTATATGCATGGAACAACTTGACAGTTATGCAAATAATTTTCATTAACCCATCCAGATCCACCCTCCCTGCAGGCAGTGGTCAGGGAAACTGCCAACTTTTAACCCTGTGCAGTAGAGGCACTGAATTGTACTTATAATTTTTATCAATATTCCTGGTTAATGAATAACAAAACAATATTGCTTCACAATGCTGCACACAGGTGGCATTAGAAGCCACTTTTTAAGTAGTCATTTGTGTTCTGCATATCAGTAGGCTTGTGGTGAAAGTGATCATGTACATGAGAGCATGTAACTATGCTTATGGGTGCAAATGGGTTAAATTTTATATTGGAGAATTTTACTAAAATATTATGATACTTTCCAGTTTTTGCTCAAATCACACAGAAGTAGCAGACACACTACACGAAAACCAACCTGAATTTCTGTGCATGTCTCGAGTGTACAGGTAAATAGTTAAATGCTTGTCAGACCAAAAAATGTTTCAAATGAGCAAGCTTTTGTGAACACCAGCTTCTATATAAGAAGAGAATTTCTTCACAAGCTGAGAAACTGTCAACTTCAAGAAAGACCATACACCATAAAAGGATTACTATTGTACTTGGCCTGACACTGAAATCAACTCTCCTCTAAGGAAAATCATGGTCTTTTCCAAAGAATTTGTTGAACCTGCTGATGAAATTAAACATAGGATTGTGAAACAGTGACAAATATGTGACACACTGATGACCTTTTTTTGTTTAACAGTGATTTCTCAACTGGATGGGTTACATAGCGTTAAATAGGATAAATTGGAGAGGATGTTGAAGGAAGTTGTCATGAGTTCTTGTAAATGTTTTGTACCAGAATTTGACTGGAGTAAGAGTACATCAGCAAAACTGACCTCCAAACTGCCAATGAAGCAGGAGTGCTAACCGCAAAAAATTGTCAAGCTGAATGGAATGTACTGAGAAGTTGACAGAAGATAACAACTTCCATATTAAGGGGTGGGAGGCTATTCTTTAAATTGATACAATTTTATAAATATACCTTTCATTCTGTTGCCTGACAAGTGTGCCACAAAGCTGCGTTGAAGGTTACATAGCAGTGTCAAAGACAACGAATGAATGAATGAATGAATGAATGTGTAAGGGTTGGGCCTTCTCGGCCCTTGCATCGCGACCACAGTGATCTATTGTGCCTCCCCTTCTGATTATCCCATCAACAATCCTGCACTTCAAATGAAATGCAGGATCTTGTACATGGGGATGTCAAAATAGTCACTTGGTTCCATAAAATATTGACCCAAGTGGCGCAGTCTTAAACAAGCTAAGGCCTCACATTCGCACGGGATATGTGTAACTGTTTCGTTTTCTCCTTGACACCTCTCACAAGTTGGACTGTTACTTAATCCCAATTTGAAGAGGTGCCCTTTGAAGTGACAGTGTCCTGTAAGTAATCCTACCACCCATCGTAGCTGGTTCATGTTTAACTTAACAGTTCCTTCGCTCGTTTAGTAGAGAGTCCTCATATGAANAAATGGTAATAACAACAGAAACAAAAAATAAAACATGAAAAATGTATTACTGCCTGCAGATGTTATATTTATATTCTCAATTTGCAATATTTAATGTGTGATAGTTTGCATTTTTTTAAGTTACTCTTAATTACAATTGGTTCATCAGAAATTTATTCAGGATGTATGTTGTAAGGGTGAGGTAGTCAGTGATGGTGATGGCTGTAGTGTAAAAAGTCAGTGGTGGCCTGTGAAGGAATAGAGGATGAGCATAAGGACTACACCGCCCATTAAAAAGTAACACAGCCACCCCATAATATTGATCTTTTTTTTCTTAACTTCATAAAATTACAACTTTACAGCCTGTGTCACCACTGATGAAAGTAATATGTAATTTCAATCTTTTTCAATCTTGTTTATTGTATGAAGGTTCTAACTGTGCTTTGTAACTATCATTGCTCATGAATAATTCAACAATAAATTTTTCATTCCAGCATCCTCTGAAACTTACTTAGATTTATGATCCTTTCTGAAAACCCAGACCTTCCCAGTGCTATTTACTTTTGTCACACAGTGAATTTGACATGCATTACAGGACATGTTCTTCCTGAAATTAATACCAACCATATTGTTCAGTACTCATTTTTAGGTGTGTTTGCCATCCTGTAGAATGCCTGTTACAAGCATTCCATCCATCTACTATGTATATGCATGGAACAACTTGACAGTTATGCAAATAATTTTCATTAACCCATCCAGATCCACCCTCCCTGCAGGCAGTGGTCAGGGAAACTGCCAACTTTTAACCCTGTGCAGTAGAGGCACTGAATTGTACTTATAATTTTTATCAATATTCCTGGTTAATGAATAACAAAACAATATTGCTTCACAATGCTGCACACAGGTGGCATTAGAAGCCACTTTTTAAGTAGTCATTTGTGTTCTGCATATCAGTAGGCTTGTGGTGAAAGTGATCATGTACATGAGAGCATGTAACTATGCTTATGGGTGCAAATGGGTTAAATTTTATATTGGAGAATTTTACTAAAATATTATGATACTTTCCAGTTTTTGCTCAAATCACACAGAAGTAGCAGACACACTACACGAAAACCAACCTGAATTTCTGTGCATGTCTCGAGTGTACAGGTAAATAGTTAAATGCTTGTCAGACCAAAAAATGTTTCAAATGAGCAAGCTTTTGTGAACACCAGCTTCTATATAAGAAGAGAATTTCTTCACAAGCTGAGAAACTGTCAACTTCAAGAAAGACCATACACCATAAAAGGATTACTATTGTACTTGGCCTGACACTGAAATCAACTCTCCTCTAAGGAAAATCATGGTCTTTTCCAAAGAATTTGTTGAACCTGCTGATGAAATTAAACATAGGATTGTGAAACAGTGACAAATATGTGACACACTGATGACCTTTTTTTGTTTAACAGTGATTTCTCAACTGGATGGGTTACATAGCGTTAAATAGGATAAATTGGAGAGGATGTTGAAGGAAGTTGTCATGAGTTCTTGTAAATGTTTTGTACCAGAATTTGACTGGAGTAAGAGTACATCAGCAAAACTGACCTCCAAACTGCCAATGAAGCAGGAGTGCTAACCGCAAAAAATTGTCAAGCTGAATGGAATGTACTGAGAAGTTGACAGAAGATAACAACTTCCATATTAAGGGGTGGGAGGCTATTCTTTAAATTGATACAATTTTATAAATATACCTTTCATTCTGTTGCCTGACAAGTGTGCCACAAAGCTGCGTTGAAGGTTACATAGCAGTGTCAAAGACAACGAATGAATGAATGAATGAATGAATGTGTAAGGGTTGGGCCTTCTCGGCCCTTGCATCGCGACCACAGTGATCTATTGTGCCTCCCCTTCTGATTATCCCATCAACAATCCTGCACTTCAAATGAAATGCAGGATCTTGTACATGGGGATGTCAAAATAGTCACTTGGTTCCATAAAATATTGACCCAAGTGGCGCAGTCTTAAACAAGCTAAGGCCTCACATTCGCACGGGATATGTGTAACTGTTTCGTTTTCTCCTTGACACCTCTCACAAGTTGGACTGTTACTTAATCCCAATTTGAAGAGGTGCCCTTTGAAGTGACAGTGTCCTGTAAGTAATCCTACCACCCATCGTAGCTGGTTCATGTTTAACTTAACAGTTCCTTCGCTCGTTTAGTAGAGAGTCCTCATATGAATCCCTTTGCTTGCCTGAGTCCAGTTAAGGATCCCCAGTATTTCTTGTGTTTCATGTTTGTCCAGTCCCTGATTGCCTGTCTAGCAACTCCTATAGAGATGCCACAGGCTGCTTCAGCCNGGGATGTCAAAATAGTCACTTGGTTCCATAAAATATTGACCCAAGTGGCGCAGTCTTAAACAAGCTAAGGCCTCACATTCGCACGGGATATGTGTAACTGTTTCGTTTTCTCCTTGACACCTCTCACAAGTTGGACTGTTACTTAATCCCAATTTGAAGAGGTGCCCTTTGAAGTGACAGTGTCCTGTAAGTAATCCTACCACCCATCGTAGCTGGTTCATGTTTAACTTAACAGTTCCTTCGCTCGTTTAGTAGAGAGTCCTCATATGAATCCCTTTGCTTGCCTGAGTCCAGTTAAGGATCCCCAGTATTTCTTGTGTTTCATGTTTGTCCAGTCCCTGATTGCCTGTCTAGCAACTCCTATAGAGATGCCACAGGCTGCTTCAGCCCCAGTCTTAGCTAATTGGTCTGCTGTTTCGTTTCCAGCAATACCCTCATGCCCCGGTACCCATATCAGGTGTACCCTGTTATCTTTGCCCAGTTCCATGAGAGTTTGGTGGCAATTCCAGACCAATTTTGAGTTGATCTGGTGTTTGTCAAGCGCTTTAAATGCAGTTTGGCTGTCAGATAAAATGTAGATGTTCCTATTTCTGTAGTTCCTATCTAGATTCTCCATAATACATGCCTTAATGGCATATACTTCTGCCTGGAATACTGTCGCGTACTACTCAAGGCTGAAACTAAGTTTCCACCTCGTGCCATAGCAGAACACACCAGCTCCAGTGCCCTTATTTATCTTAGAACCATCTGTATAGCAGATCAGTCCCCCTTTTCTATTGGGCCGAAGCCTGCCTTCCCATTCACTCGTCAGGAAATCTGACTTTGAATGATTTTTTTATATACATGTCTCAGTATCATTTTGTCAGACCCCATTTGTAATATGGGTTCTTTTTTCATGTCCTGAGTTATGTATGCATGTCCGAAACTATCGAATTTAGGCTTTCATTGATCACTGCACTGGAGAC